TTAACAATATGTTTCGAATATTGAAAATAAACCCTACCTCCCCTCCTTCCCCCTCAACAAGTGGAAAGGAGAGTGGAGCGATAATGAATAAGAATAAAATCGAGTCTATGCAAATCGACACAAGAGACTACTACATGGCAATTAACATTCATATGTATGTATTTCAATTAATTAGTTGATAAAACATACAACATGACATGTAGTACTTGGACTTTGAAAAAATGACAAGTTTTTAAACCTAGTCTAGTATAGGCATAAAATCCCAAAGATAAAGTAAAAAAAATTACTTAATCGTGATTTTACAGTAACCACTTCGAAAACATGGTACGTTGGTCTGGTATCGGAAATTGATTCCGATAAAGAAGTGAAAATAACATTTTTAGATTGACTAGGAAGTTCTTTTAGATGGCCAATGAATCTGAAGATTGATAATGTATTTCCCTTCTATTAAGGACATTGAACAAGCCTGGAAAGGGTCGAATATTTCTCACAAATAGTATTGTTATTATTTGATTTGTTCGGTTTAAATTTAGTTAATCACTTAGTTGACAATTTACCGTTTAATTTTGTGAATAAACTAGTAAGAGAAATTATCGATTTAATTATTTTTTTACATGCATTAAATGATAAGCTTTTGTCTTCATTTGCCCATTTTATTTTATAGGTGAGTTAAATTGGGAAAAAATTGAAGTGGAAAGGAGAGTGGAGCGATAATGAATAAGAATAAAATCTTATCATCATCATTTTGGCTTTACAACCCTGTGTGGGTCCTAGCCTTCCCAAGAATTCTCTTCCAGTCGTCCCTGTCCATCGTCTTCCTCCGCCAAGCACGTATTTCATATTTCTCATATATTGTTCTATGTTATCTAGGAATCTTGTTCTGGGTCTTCCTCTTCTTCTTTGACCAATAGGTCTATCAAGGAGCGTTTTTATAGCTGGGTCGGTTTGTTCCATCCGCATTACATGGCCTACCCACCTCAGAATCAAATCTAGTCTACGCAAATCGACACAAGAGACTATTATCCCAGTCTGGTTAAAACAAAAAGTCGAAAAATTTTTCGCAGATATCTGAAGCTTTTATGACATAAGTGGGGGTTACTAGATAATGAATAGATGAAAAAGTACTCGTATTTTTACCTTGCGCTTTTAACAATAATTTATGGTCACAATTTGATTTTTTGTTTATAAGTTTTTTCCATTATATTTAACATAACCAATATTTATATAATCTTTTTATATCAAGAATATCTTTATTTTCCCGTTTTTTTAATTAAAATTGATAAATAATTTACGAAAATATTTGCAAAAAAGCAGTTTTTGCACTACTTTATAATTTTATTAGGTAATTCTTTTATTAACAAAATAAAATATTATTAATACATTTGGACATTGAGGAATTACAGTCCTTTAAATTTGTGCAAAATTTCCTCCGGATCGGTCAAATAGTTTAAAAGTTATTTAATTTATTTTTCCTTGAGGCTAAATATTTAAACTATTGAACTTGCTCTTTTAATGATGCTAGACACATTTAGCAAATTTCATAGGATTCTTTAAGACTTAAACTATCTCAGAAGTTAAATGCATATTGCGTTTTCATCGAAATTATTTACAAAATAAACGTTTGAAAAAGAGGTACATTTTTTATTTATAAACAATTGTATTAACTTTTATATTTTTCAAGCTACAGACTTGTACGTACAGCCATTGGATAGCTGTTAAAAAACTCACATTAAAAAAAATCTATGACCAACAAGAACGAAGTTAGGGGCTATTTTGACGAAATTTTGGAGCGTGGCAGCTGTTACTCATCCCGCCTTTTTTACGCATACTAAGATATATAACTGGTTTTCTATTGTATAAATGACCTTTCTGCTATTCACATGAATACATAAAAAATGTAGGGACACGAGGACCGTAGACTCTATGATCTTTGAAGATATTTAGATCGAAAAACATAAATAAATGTGTTTACCCTCCACGTACTGTACATATACCTATACACATATATAAACATATAGATCGTCAAAGTAGTAAATAATTGTAATTAATATAAGGAATATAATGTGCCGAAAATTACTTGAAAATTAATTTATAAAATATATAAGTATTATTAAATCATTGATATAAAATGAAAAAATATATATGTTGATTTTCCGGGATTTTTTGAGATTTCCTTATGCTGGAATTTCCAATACTGCGACAGACTATTCCAGCCAAATTTAAAAAAGTAAGTTGTTACGGTGAATTTCAAATGGACTCAATTTTTCCGAGGTTGCCCAGTCAGTGAAAACTATGTAGTTATTCATATTTTGACGAGCTAATCCAGATTAAAAAAAGAGGCTTCTAGCTGCAATGGAAGCCGAAATAACGTAAATTTTTCTTACGTGTTTCAATTTGAAGTTACGATCTCTAAAAAACGGGAGCTGAAACAGTTATACCCTCCACTTTTCTCTGTCGTTCTTTCGAAAGTACCTTCGTTTCGAAGGGCTGTAAGATTCGAAAAATTGGATGAATTTTAATAAGCTATAAGTTTCACTATAAAGTTTAGATTTTCATGCAAAATTTGTGTAAATTTTACTTCTTAATGTTTATAATTTGACAATAGAGATATGAATTTTTTAAAAATAGTCCCTAATTTCGTTCCTATTGGTCATAGAAGGTTTTTATTATTTTTTTTTAATGTGAGTTTTTTTATCAGCTATTCAATGATTGTACGAACAAATGTGTGCTTCAAAAATATAGAAGTTATTACAATTGTTTATAAGTAAAAAACATATACCTTTTTCAAAAGCTTATTTTGTCAATAATTTCGATGAAAACGCAATATGCATTTAAATTCTAAGATAGTTTAAGTCTTAAAGAATCCTATGAAATTTGCTAGGATTCACTCCAGAAAAATCAACAATTGACCAGATTCATTCAATAAGACAGATTCTCGAGAAAACATTAGAATTCAATATTGAAACCCATCACCTATTCGTCGACTTCAAGGCCGCATACGACAGTGTCAAGAGAACAGTGCTATACCAATCAATGCATGAGTTTGGTATATCAGAGAAACTTATCCGATTAACGAGAATGACAGTGTCTAACTTAGAAGCCACTGTTAGAATACAGGGAGAGAATTCTAGATCCTTTGAGATAAAGGATAAAGGATGTACTCAGACAAGGTGATGCTCTGGCTTGCCTCCTATTTAATATTGCCTTAGAAAAGGCAGTCCGAGATACACGAATTAGGGATGGCGGTACTATTTACAATAGATCGATACAAGTCTTAGCATATGCTGATGACATTGACAGGATAGGGCGTAGCAAGCGAGATGTTAAGCAATATCTCCTAGAATTGGAAACAGCGGCGAAACAGGTCGGTCTAGTCATCAACGAAGACAAAACCAAGTACATGTTGGTTACAAAGGATCCGATAGCAAATGAGGAACGAGAAACACTCTTTGGAAGTCATACCTTTGGACGTGTTGACAACTTCACATACCTTGGGTCGCTATTGACTGCTACCAATAAAACCAGCGAAGAAATCAAAAGACGAATAAATCTTACAAATAGCAAAAGCATTTTCACTCAAGAAACATTTAAAGAAGAAATAAAATTATTATATACAAAACATTGCTGAGGCCAGTCCTCACATATGGAGCAGAAACATGGACTCTAACGCAGAAAGATGAAAGACTTTTGGGAATATTTGAGCGTAAAATACTCCGCAAAATATTTGGAGCTATAAACGACCAAGGGCAGTGGCACAGAAGATATAATTTTGAATTGTATCAGCTCTTTGATGAGCCAGATGTTATAACGTTCATTAAAACACAGCGACTTAGATGGGCTGGACACATAATACGAATGCCAGAAAATACGATTGCTAAAAAGCTAACCAAAGGAACACCTGTAGGAAAAAGAAGCAAAGGCCGACCGCGAATTAGGTGGTTAGATGGAGTTGAAACCGACTTACGGATATTAAAAATCAGAAGATGGCAACATGTTACCAGAAACCGAACAGAATGGCAACGAATCTTAGAGCAGGCCAAGATACAAAGAGAATTGTGGAGCCATTAAACTATTTGACCGATCGGGGGGAAATTTCGCACAAATTTAAAAGACGGTAATTCTTCGAGTTCAAATGTATAATAACATTTTATTTTGTTAATAAAAAAATTAATAAAACGGGAAAATAAAGATATTCTTGATATAAAAAAATGATATAAATATTGGTTATGTAACATATAAGGGAAAAATACACAAAAAATCAAATTGTGACCATAAATGATTGTTTAAAAAAACGCAAGGTAAAAATACGAATACTTTTTCATCCATTCGTCATCTAGTAACCCCCACCTATGTCTTAAAAGCTTCAGATATCTGCGAAAAATTTTGCCGTGAAATCGATGATTTTTGAATAATCAGACTGGGCTATACTACAAGAGAATGGCAATTAAAATTCTTAATATGTATGTCAATAAATTAGTTGATAAAACATACGACATATAGTACTTAGACTTTGAAAAAATGTTCAGTTTTTAAAACTATTGTATAGGCATAAAAACCCAAAGATAAAGTATATAATGGGAATGTTTACGAAAGAATTTATATGAAAGGAAAAAACAGTATTATTTTTTATATTTCAACTTTTTAAATCCACCAAAAATTCATTAAAATGAATTATTGCAAAATAATTGTGATATAAATTACATAATAATATTTATTCTGCTAAATAGGTTTCTTAGAAACAATTTTCTTACGTTTAAGCACATGACAGTGATCAATATAACAATAGACCTAATATGTTAATAACAAACCACCTTCGTAACAATTTTTTTTATGTACCATTATCTAATTTGTGATTTCTAAAAGGTTGCGATATTATTTTCAATTTTATATTATGTATATATATATATATATATATATATATATATATATATATATATATACAAAAACTAAGATTTGTTAATAAAAAAAAGCACATTATGGATACTCTGGGAAAAAATTACCTTGTCGGGAGTTGCCTTTTTCGTCATAGTAGCAAACCACCTTAGGATTGGCCTGTGTATAACAGACGTACGAGAAGAGCACGAGCAAAAATATCTTGAAACCGGCAGCCATTGCTACTGGTCAGTCTTTATCCAACTAAAACTAAAATGACCTCAAGAACGTTTGATTCGAATGTCTTTGAAATGTGGACTTGCGCGCCAACCAGTATTCAAATTTAGGAGGGGACTTTTAAACAAAATGTTATTGCTGTTGTGAAAAAGTGTATTACTTTTCTAGGTATTGTTTATACATTTTTTTATTTATTAACTGGTACCGCCGTATCAGTTTCCAGAATATGGGTATTTACTGTTTATCGAACTGGTGTTAAAAGATCACATAAATTAATAAATTTATCTCAAATATTCTAGTACATAAATAGTTTATACTTTATGTTATAATACTGTTTATATGACAATGTTGATAGTACAAAGGGGAAAAGTTTTAGCGATAACAAAAGGTCACATTAACATTTCGATGCTACACTTAACAATAAGAATATTACTAGCTTAGCAATAATTGCAAAATACAAATTATTTTTAAATAGTTAATTTATACACTAAGGGTGGGGGACAAGGAAGGAGCCTCCACGAGATCAATAGTGCCACAACAACTGCAAAGTAAACACTATTAACGGCGTGTCCTGGAAACGTCTACTAGTAGACGGCTAATCCTTCCAATACCGGATCAAACCAAATCAGATGGCAAATATCAAGCCACAACGGTTCTTCCCAGAGCCAACACTGACCGTATATATATATATATATATATATATATATATATATATATATATATATATATATATATATATATATATATATATATATCGATGGTTTAAAGCACAAACATAGTATGTCCACTTTTTGCTGATTTTAAGATATCACCATAGACATATTCAGTAGGGTCATATGAATGTTCTGCACAATTATTGTAAGTCAAAAATGATTGTAAATACCTTAAACCGCCTTGCCTAAATATAGTATTTCCCATTTGTACTAAAAATCGACTTCACAGACATATTATGTCCGTTGGAAGTGCACAAACATAGTATGTTTTGGACATACAATATTAGTGCTCATATGATCAAACTTATTATGGCTGTAAATATTGTTTGTCCGGACATGCAATATTTGTGCTCTTTATGATTTGAAATCAAGCTGATAACGTTGTAACATAAATATATCATGTTTGTGCATAGTTTGCAAATAGTTTTCGTATGTCTGTCTCTTAATCAGTTATAACGACTTTCGGTAATCTAATAGCAGTTCTGTTTTTACGTTCGAATAATAAGGTAATACTGTTTTGTGTGATTAGTGAACTTAAAATAAGTAGTGATTTTATCAAAATGTCTAAACGTGCTAAACTTTTAGTGGAATTAGCAAAAAAAGGATGCGAAACAACAAGAACATCAGGTATCTATTGATTGCTTCTTTGTATACATAGGTACTGTATTTTTAAGAAAATGGGCCGTACTTACCTAATAACGACTACAATGCTACGTGATTTATTTTAGAAATTATTTAGGAAGAATGTACTAGAAGTATACTAAAGACATAAATAATTATTTTACCGGTTTAACCTTACTTCTTTGATAAATATTTTTATACTATTAGCTAAACATCTTGTTAGATCAATAATTTGTATAACAAAATAAATTTAGTTTTCGCGGTATCCCGTAATTACGTTAATTTTATATTTTGTTAGAGGTAACGTGTGACACTAGAGATAATCCGGCAATGGAAAGCTGCAAAGAAAATGAGGAAAGTTGTTTCCAAGTCTGTGATGACATCATGATTATTCCCTTTGGTAAGACCTGTGTTGGGTGTTTATATTAGTTAAATAATATTAGTATTTCTTTTTCTGTTTAGAGGAACTTGAACGAAATGAAGATAATTCCATTTATCATTCAACAACTAATTGTCTCATTGATAACATTTTTTCGGTGGAAGAAAACTGTATGAATACAATTGCACAGATTCAAAATGTTGTCCAGTTATCCAAACCCATAGAATATAATTCATACGGAGAAGATGCTGATGGTAACTTTTGTCAGTTTAAAAAATATATGCTTTATTTTGATATGTACTATTTTTTAATATTGTTCTGAAGCTATTTTCTTGTGGCATTGTAAATTAATTACTATTTATAACTGGGAATAAGCCACATTAAAGATAAAAATACATTTATTGACGTTTCAATTTCCAATTCGGAAATCGTTCTCAAAATACAAATAGTAAATTAAACAAATTTTGTTTTTTGTTACATAGTGAAAAAATTCTTCTGATAATTTAATTTTATCTGACTCATTTATATTGACAATTCAGACATACATTATGCATTTTAAAGTAGACGACTTTAAAATGATATTGCCAATATTGTTGAGTTGCGCTCCTGGGACGACTTTACTTATAAGATAGTTCATTCGATTACATGAAATCAACTTTAACTTGAGAATATCCGTCAGAAAAAATCATAGCATGTAATTCGTCTTTAAAAAGACAAACACATGACATGATGACAGTAAAATTCTCCTGTTAGTGATTCCATAGTAAATTATGAGGGAAAAACCAGGAAAAAAACCTCATAATACTATCCCGACATTGTAAGTATTTGTTCGTGAATTTAGTTTACCTTCAACAAACATCATAATTCTGATTTTATGTTACGTTATTTAAAAAACATAAATGATGTATCCTCTATATGTTACTGACTTACTAATACTGGTATTTTCTTATTAATAACTTCCTCTTTCAATATTGGTAACCAGATCCTACTACATTCTGCCGAGGAATTGGCGACACAATTGGTCTCATTTAGCATAATTAGAGCCGCTTCTTTGATTTTTCTTTTTTTACCATCCGTTTCTTTTAGGACTATATTTGAATTATTCCATTGAACTCTATGTTCATTATCCCATGCGTGTTTACATATTTGAGATCTATCAAATTCTCTATTTTTATTATACGATAGAGCCAAAATTACTTGTTCTAACGAAAATTCGTTCTTGGAGGAGAAACATTTGTTAACATCTGTTTTATTAAAAAATGATTATCCTTTATCGTTTATAAATAAGGAATTTTCAACAATCGATCGAATAGAACAGAACAACTTAGAACGAGATCCTACAGCATACACAAGGAATAGTATGAGGAAAATAACAATACCGTACATAAAAGGATTATCAGAAAAACTTAAAAGGATAGGAAATAAATTCAACATTTCAACAACATTCAAAACAACAAACACGTTGAGATCTATTTTGTCCAAAACCAAACCTAGCAATGAACAAGAAAGGACAAAGAATTGCATTTATAAAATACCTTGTGAATGCGATCAGTTTTATTTAGGTGAATCATCAAGGCCATTAAATGTTAGAATAAGTGAACATCAATCTTATATTAAAAATAGAGAATTTGATAGATCTCAAATATGTAAACACGCATGGGATAATGAACATAGAGTTCAATGGAATAATTCAAATATAGTCCTAAAAGAAACGGATGGTTAAAAAAAGAAAAATCAAAGAAGCGGCTCTAATTATGCTAAATGAGGCCAATTGTGTCGCCAATTCCTCGGCAGAATGTAGTAGGATCTGGTTACCAATATTGAAAGAGGAAGTTATTAATAAGAAAATACCAGTATTAGTAAGTCAGTAACATATAGAGGATACATCATTTATGTTTTTTAAATAACGTAACATAAAATCAGAATTATGATGTTTGTTGAAGGTAAACTAAATTCACGAACAAATACTTACAATGTCGGGATAGTATTATGAGGTTTTTTTCCTGGTTTTTCCCTCATAATTTACTATGGAATCACTAACAGGAGAATTTTACTGTCATCATGTCATGTGTTTGTCTTTTTAAAGACGAATTACATGCTATGATTTTTTCTGACGGATATTCTCAAGTTAAAGTTGATTTCATGTAATCGAATGAACTATCTTATAAGTAAAGTCGTCCCAGGAGCGCAACTCAACAATATTGGCAATATCATTTTAAAGTCGTCTACTTTAAAATGCATAATGTATGTCTGAATTGTCAATATAAATGAGTCAGATAAAATTAAATTATCAGAAGAATTTTTTCACTATGTAACAAAAAACAAAATTTGTTTAATTTACTATTTGTATTTTGAGAACGATTTCCGAATTGGAAATTGAAACGTCAATAAATGTATTTTTATCTTTAATGTGGCTTATTCCCAGTTATAAATAGTAATTACTATTTTTTAGGAAAGTTTAGTCTACCTGAAAACTCACTAGCTGTTTCTGCACAGGAAACTTCTTGGTTACATTTGCAACAAGTCCAATCTGTTCCATATCTTCAATCAAATGAAGATATTTCTGTTATTACAAATACTGCTTTACAAGAAAACAATGAAGACCATAGTATTCCTCAAAATGAAGTGAAAGCCACTGAATATTTATCAGACCCTGATTTTATCCCAGCAGACTTAGACGTTTCAACTGACAATGACTTCGATAACCAAGCGAATGCTTCTCCATTGCCTTCAGAAACAAATTCTACTTTAATGAATATAGAGACAAAAACAAAAAAAAGCCGCAAACGTCATGCACAACCTGAAACATGGGAAAGGAATATTCGTAAACAAAAAAGAATGTGTGGTAAAAGTTATACAAATAGCAAAAAAGAAATTATTCCTGAAAAGCGTATTCAACATATTATTGACTGCTCAAGATGTAGATTTAAATGCTCAACAAAAATTCCTCCTGAACGTCAGAGTATTTTGCATCAAGAATATTGGGCACTGGCTGATTCTGATCGACAAAAGGGGCACTTGTGTTCTTTAGTTACAGAGAGAAATGTAGCTAGACACAGAAAACGTAACCCTGAAAGCAATATTTCAAAATCAACATCGCGTGTTTACACATTATGTGACACCAGTGGGGAAACACAGAGAGTGTGTCTCAAATTTTTTTGTGCAACGTTTAGTATTAGCTTTCAGGTAGTTGATTTGGCATTAAAAAAACGTGGTCCAGGAGGGGCTTACGTAGGTTGCGATGGGCGAAAAGGGAAAGTTCCAGCTAACATTACACCCGACGCAGCTAAAAATCACGTGACAATTCATATAGACAGTTTTCCTAAAATGGAATCGCATTATAGTCGTCGCGATA